AAAAAAAAAAAAAAAAAAAAAAAAAAAAAAATTATCAGACATATAAAGCAGCAGGAAAATAGGACATGTAATGAGAATAATCAATCAAGCAACACTAACCCAAAACTTGCACCCATGTCAGAATTAGCAGACAAGGATATTAAAACAACAATAACTGTTTTACATTCAAAAAGTAAAGCAGATACCACGATATAAGATATTAAAAAACATCAAATCAACCCAGGAGGCGGAGGTTGCAGTGAGCTGATATTAAGCCATTGCACTCCAGCCTGGGCGAATGAGTGAGACCCTGTCTCAAAAAAATAAATAAAAATTAAAACGATTAAATCATACCTTTTTTTTTTTTTTCTGAAACTGAATCTTGCTCAATCACCCAGGCTGGAGTGCAGTGGTGCGATCTCAGCTCCCTGCAGCCTCCGCCTCTCAGGTTCAAGCAATTCTCCTGCCTTGGCCTCCAGAGTAGCTGAGATTACAGGAGCCTACCACCACACCAAGCTAATTTTTTGTGTTTTTAGTAGAGATGGGGTTTCGCCATGTTGGCCAGGCTGGTCTTAAACTTCTGACCTCAGGTGAGCCTCCTGCCTCGGCCTCCCAAAGTTCTGGGATTACAGCCGTGAGCCACTGAGCCTGGCTTTTTTTTTTTTTTCTTTTTGAGACAGGGTCTTGCTCTGTCATCCAGGCTAGAGTACAGTGGCACAACCACCTCCTGGGTTCAAGCAATTCTCCCACTTCAGCCTCCCAAGTAGCTGGGATTACAGATATGAGCCACTGCACCTAGCTAATTATTTTGTATTTTTGCTAGAGACGGGGTTTTGCTGTGTTGTCCAGATTGGTCTTGAACTCCTGGCCTCAAGTGATCCACCTTCCTTGGCCTCCCAAAGTTCTGGGATTATAGGCATGAGCCACCACGCTCAGCCCAAATCGTACTTTTAAAGATGAAAACTATAGGCCGGGCGCGGTGGCTCAAGCCTGTAATCCCAGCACTTTGGGAGGCCGAGGCGGGTGGATTACAAGGTCAAGAGATCGAGACCATCCTGGTCAACATGGTGAA